AAAAAAAAAAAAAAAAAAAAAAAAAAAAAAAAAAAAGGCAACAACAACCCAGTAAATTTATCTTTTATAAGATGTTCAGTGTTCAAGTATTATCTCCACCCTTATGGCAAATGTTTTTCCTTCATCTTTGTTTGCTTCCCTGGGAGAGTTTTGTTTCTGTTTGTTTCTATATGAATTTTAGGCACTGAGCTGAAAAGTCCTCCTGTCCGGTACTGTATGTTTGAGCCTAAGCAATGTGAACTGTACAGACCAGCAGTGGGAAATGGGAGCCGGTGACTGCGCCTGGGAGAGCCGTGGCTTGGGATGGCATTCCCGGTTGCTCTGGGGAGCGGGAAGTACTGCGTCGTGAATTGGGAAAATGAACTGTCTGCTGTGAATTCTCGGTTGGAAATGTGGAGAGGGGTTTCCATTAGATTATAATGTTTACATACCTCACCTGATGAACCTTTGAAAGTGTATATAAAAAAAAAGAAAATAAAATTATATTAAGTTGCTTTAAATCAATATGTATAGCTATAAGAGCTGGGTCATTTGAACTTTGAATATGTATCAACTCTAAATGTTGACATTTTGTGAACTCTGTGCGCCTGTCTTATATTTCATCTTAGCCTATGGAAGAAGTTGTTGTTCCAGGTAAAAGGTCCCTGACTCAGATCTGAACTCCTCAAGGATTCCCACCACCTTGTTTTCTTTTCTTCCTCCACTGTCGATATTCACCCTATGAGCTTTCTAAAGGTCCGTATTTTATTGCAGCTTATTAAACGTTTCTTTGATATCAATGTTTGTTTGGTGTGATAACTGGGGAAGGGCAAAGGTGAGTGAGTGCATGGGGGGGCAGCAGGCTGGCACCCTCTGGAGGGGGGGATATAAATACCTGGGTGGGATTTGAGTGATCCTCCGCCCGTGTCTGAGCTGGTGGTACTGCCTTCTGTGGCAGATTTGTGTTTGTGGCATGAACAGTGCAACCCCTCAGTACTCCCAGGGGCTGCTGTGCTGGTCACCACACCCCTTCTCCAAGGAGTTACAGATGGCCAGTTTCCCCCACAGTCACTCCATCCCCACAGCAGACACTGGGCCCTTCGGCATCTCGTGCTGCCCCTCACACAACCCAGGCAGCAAGGGCTCCTTTTGCAAGGCATTGTACAGATAGCCCTGGCTCTCCCCAGCAATGAGCCCTCAGCCCAGGGCTGTGTCCCAGCACCACAGGGCAATGCTCTGGCCAGAAGAGGTGGCTGGGGCTGCTCCAGGAATAGCAAATCATCACCCCTGGCAGGACTAGCTCTCCCCAGCCTGTCCACCTCCTTGTACACCCAGAAGCTCCTGAGCACCAGCTGCCCGCTTCTCCCCTCCAGGAAAGAAGAGGCCAAGCCTCTGAATGAATAAATGTCATGTTCACATGGAAGACAACATAGACAATACCAAACATCTCCTAAAACAATACAGCCTCTGCCAGCGGAAGGATGCTCAGTGCCTCCCTCACCAGCCTAGTACAAACCAGCGTCTTCAACAGTGACACACACAAACCCCACGGGCCAAACAAAGCCACCGTCATTTTCCTGCCCAGTAGCATCTGTAAACAAAAAGAAAACATCATTTGTTGACCCCAAACATATAAAAATACTATAACAAAATGAAATACAAATATATATTAGAATCTGTAAGTATTCTGTATAAAGAGATACTTTAGCGGTTAGCTTACAGCAAGAACAGAAACACAACACAACCAAGCCCCAGCCGGGCCATGGGCAAAATGAGATGCGTCCCGGCTCCTCTGTGCAGCAGAGGGGGCTCCTGTGGAGAGGCCATTTGTGGCAGAAACACATCCCCGTGGTGGTGGGAATGTCCCAGATACAAATGATGAGCAGGGACGGCGACAGCACCTGTGAAGCCAGATGCACCCAGCGGAGACACCCGGAGCCCAGCCACAGCCGGCTGTGCGGACCTGAAGCTGATGTGCTGGAGGAGTACGATGAAGAGACCCGGGGCCGCAGCCCTGGGATGAGTTTGAGTTTGTCCACTCAACTGACGTAGTGACACGCTGTCCAGCCATGTGCAGTGTCCCAGGTCAGACTTCCACCATCCTTGGCTCCCACAGGCATAGAAGCGATGCTGCTGCGAAGGTCAGGTGTGCGCGGTGCCCTGCACAGCCTCCCCGCGCTGTGATGGCAGTGGTGCTGCCCCTGCTCCCATGCCAGCCCAGCCCATTCAGTGTGGGCTTTGTGGGGTGCTGCCTGGGCACTGGCACCCGAGTCCAGGAGCTAGTGGGACCTGCTCTGGCACTGGTGTCAGCTCCAGGCGTGCAGGCTTGGGCACCTTCAGCCTCTTCAACTGGCCTCAGCACCCACAAGGCTCAAGTTCTGACACTGGGCACGGCAAACCCGCACCCTGCCTGTCCCAGCAGCCTCCTGACCTGGCTCGCTGGCCCACGGGGCACCTCTGCTCAGCTGCAGAGCCCCCCCCAGGGCTGATCCTGCAGGAAAGGGGATCTTGTGCTGCCCCGTGCAGCTCCCACTTCTGAGCAGAGCCACCTGGCTGTCATGGTGGCATTCAAGGCCCCTTCCACGTTAATGACACAGTGCTGTAGGCCGTGGCACAGGGCAGGACTAGCGCTTGGACCCCAGAAGATATCTGCACCCCACTGCCCATGCCCCTGCTCAGCACACCTGGGGACCACCCTCGTCCTGCTGCACCCAGCATGGCCCCAGCACCAACACACTGGGCTGGAGCCGTGGTCTGTGCTCCCCAGAGCCCAGACAGCAAGCAGAGCCTGGGGGGGCCACCAACGGGGCAGGCTGTGACTGTGGATTTAGGACACTTGGGGTGCCCCAACCATCGCACTGGGGAGCCACTTGCTGCAGCTGTCATCGGGGTGATGGCAGATCCATAGCTGCCAGAGGAAAGGAGGGGAAGACAGGCACTGGGCTTGCCAGGACCATGGGAGGCCAGCTGCACTGCACAGCCCTCTGCCAGCCATGGCTTGCCATGGCCCATAAGGCTCTGCCGTGTCAGGCCTCTCTGCTCCAGCCCCAGGTGATGGAAAAGCCCCCAGCTCGCTGGGCTGGATGCAGGGATGGAGCTGCCAGGGAGGGGACACACAGGGGGACACAGGCGCTGCCCTCCATGGCTCTGGGTTGTGCTGGGGGGAAGGCAGAGCACTGCAGGGAGGGGATGAGGGACAGCTGGGCAGAGTGCCCGCCCTCTATCCACACATCTGTGTAGCTGCAGTTCTTAAAAAATTCTCTATCTACACATTTGCTTTGTTTGGGGGGGGTGGGGGTTCTGGGGGTTTTTTTTTTTTTTTTTTTTTCCCAATGCTCTAGATGCAACAGCTCTACCCTCCGCTGGGCTCCTCTGGTGTGGCTGCAGTTCAGGAGCACCCAGACAGCAGCACCGTGGCCGCAGGGCAAAGCGAGGTCCTTGTCTTGGTGGGGCTCCCCGCCAGCCCCCCAGCTCTGTGGGGCCAGTGGCCGCTCACAGGCACTGGCTGCAGCCGCACTTGCTGGGCTTCTCCACCTCCTCCACGAAGGTCGCGCCGTTGCTGCACTCGAAGGCGTATTTCCTGCGCCGGAGCCGCAGCCCAGTGCAGCAGCCGGCACCGGGGCCGATGCAGGTCCCCCGACATTCCACCCAGGCCACCGGCCGTGTTGTCTGGCAGATGGCATAGCCCCGCTGCACCTGGTGGTAGTCCCTTACCGGCTCTCCTCGGCACTCTGGCTCTGCGGGACAGAAATGCTCAGACCAGTGTCCCGGCCCAATGTCCCCTGAAGAACCCACCTCCCCAGCACCCACCTTGGTCGCAGAGGGCTCCAGCATAGCCGCTGTGGCACTCACAGGTGGGCTGGCCGCCCGGGGTGAGGCGGCAGTGGCCATGGACGCAGGGCCGGCGGTCGCAGGGGTCAGGAGGCTCGGTGGGCTGGTTGCAGAGGGCACCCTGGTAGCCCTCGTGGCACTGGCAGCTGTAGGAGAGGGCGTCGAGGGGCAGGCACAGCCCGTGCACACACCTGCGGGCACCCGGCAGCATCAGGCACCCGCCGGCATGGCACGGCACCAGCATGCACAGCCCACCAGCACCGGCACAGCACTGCACCGGGACCGGCATGGCACTGCCATCGTGGCACAGCCCTGCCACAGCACTGGCTCCGACATGGCACCGAACAGCCCTGGCACCACTAGTGGCACACAGGCAAGGGGAGGGGTGGGCAGGACAGGCAGGGACAGCCCATGGAGAGGGCAGGGATGAGAGATGGCCAGTGAGGGGCAGCCAATGACAAAACAGCGAGTGAGGAAGGGGCAGCCAACGAGCCAATGCAGTGGAGCAGTTGCAGTGAGGCAGCCAATGAAGTGAGGTGGCCAAAGACCCAATGGGGCAGGTGGGTCACTGTGGGGCAGCCAATGGGGCAGGTGGGTCACTGTGGGGCAGCCAATGGGGCAGGGCCGTTGCTGTTGGACAGCCAATGCAGCAGTGCTATTGCTTCAGGACAGCCAATGGGGCAGAAGAGTCACTGCAGAGCAGCCAATGGGGTGGGGGAACTCACTTGTGCCCCTGGCAGGGGCCACCACGGGGCTGGTCGCAGTGGGGCCCGTCCCAGCCGGGCTCGCAGTGACAGACGGGGCCCTGCGCGCCGGCGGGCTGGCAGATGCCATGCAGGCAGTAGAGCTTGCGGCAGGGCTCGCAGCCTGGCACCACCCCTGGCGTCATCCGCGTCTTGGTGAAGTCCTGCAGTTCATTGTTGATGTAGAGGTTGCGGATGCATCCGTGGAAGCTGGTGCCGTTGAGGAGCTGCCAGAGGCGGAAGGCGGCCGAGTTGACGTCCACAGGCATCCCTGGGGAGAAGAGGGTTGTCAGCGTGCCTGGATGCCCCCTGTGCCCCTATTACACCCCTGTCCTACCTCCCACGTAGAGGGGGGCCTCACTGTTCAGTGTGTAGTGCTTGCCCGAGTTGTCCATGGTCATGGGGCTGCCACCATCAATGGAGAGGTTCACCATCTGGTCAAAGGTCACCAGCTCCACGGTGTGGAACTGCCCATCGTTGATAGTCTCGGCGCTGGTGGGGATGGCTGGGTCATCAGGGACCCCTCAAACCCATGCAATGGGGATGGTGGTCCCTGGTGAGTGGGGAAGGGGTGGTAGGTACCTGTAGATAGCTGAGCTGGGGTGGGTGCCGGGGTCATAGCTGACCCTGACATGGCCCTGGTACAGCTCCACAGCCATGTGGTCACTGTCGCCATTGTACAGCAGGATACCATTGCCTTCAGCTGTGGAGACCTGGCAGGGGGAGAGGTAGGAGCCCACATCCCTGGGGCAGCACCCCCAATGCCACCCCCCCAATGCCCCTACACCCCCCCAGCCCTCACCTGCAGGGTGATATTGGCCCGAGGCCAGTCCTGCAGGTCAGTGAACTGCAGGTATGTGTCACGGTCCACGAAGTTGACACTCAGAAGCTTCTCACACTTGGGGCCACCGAAGCCTGGTAGGCACTGGCAGAGGGCACGGGCACCCCGCTCCACGCACGGGGCCCCATTCTGGCACTCAGCTCGCTCACAGAGGCCAGGCTGGCCAGTGGCACGGGGTGGCATCTCACAGAGTTGGCCACTGCAGGGTCAAAGATGCTGCTGGGCATGGGGCTAGGAAAGAGCCCTACACCCTGCCCACTGCCCCATGAGGCTCTGACAGCACCCTGTTTTGGGGTTCCCAGAGAGGCTCTCCATCCAGTGACATCAGAGGGATGCTCCCCGCAGCCTCCACCCCCAGAGACCCACACCCCCAGCCCCATTCCTTCCTCTCACACTGGAGGGGGATGGATGGATGGATGAATAGATGAATAGATGGATGGACGGATGGATGTGGTAGCCAGGACTGGTTCCTCCAGCACAGTGACATGTAACTGCCCCAGCTATCCCCGGTGCCCCCCCATCTTCCCAATGGTACCTGTAGCCCTCAGTGCAGAGGCAGGAGTAGCCGTTCACCTCATCCAGGCAGCGGGCATTGTTCTGGCATCGGTGGTCCTGGCAGTCGTCGAAGTCCTCGCTGCAGTTGCTCCCCACGTAGCCGGGCGCACACTCGCACCTGGGGCAAGCAGGGGGCTCATAGCTGCCCCTTCCTTACTCCCAGTGTTGGTGGGTGACTGCTCCTTCTGGTATCCCCCTACCCATGCCCCTCTCACCAGCCTGTGAGTGACAGCCCCCAAAAGCAAATCTCCCCTACCAGGTAGCTGGGAGAAAGGTGTTTGGGGAGGGGGGGGGCTCACCTGGGCCCCTGGCTGGTGGAGATGCAGGTGGAGCCATGGTGGCATGGGCTGAGCTCGGCCGAGCAGAAATCCAGTGGCTGCTCACAGAAATCCCCTGCAGGGCAGAAGAAGGGGTGCTGTGGGGTGCCCAGCAGCTCCAGGATTAGAGAGGCAGCCCTGGTGTCGCAAGGCAGGGGGAGCCTGTGGGGGGCTCGGCTCAAGGCAGGGAACTGCTGAGCCTGCAGCTCATACTGCCACGGGCACAGGGTTCTGCTCCGACGGAGGCAGCTCTTGCCTGATCCAGGTACTAAGGGTGCCCCAAGGTAGGGGCCTCAGCTGGGTGTACCAACACTTGAAGTGGCTGGGCCCAGAGACCATGGTGATGTGCACTGGGACAGCAGGCAGAGGAGCTATCTGCCCTCATCGCTGAGAAGGGAGAAGCACTGGACACATTCCTCTGCTAGGCCCACAAGGTTTGGGGGTGGCTGGCCCTCATGCTGGGTACCTGTGTAGTGGGCAGGGCACAGGCAGGTGTAGTTGGTGGCACTGGGCACGCAGGAGGCCCCGTTCTCGCAGTTGTGCTCCTTGCAGGGGTCTCTGGCAGCATGGCAGCTCGGGCCCTCGAAGCCCGCTGTGCACAGGCACCTGCCGCAGGACATAGAGCAGTGTTAGGGGGTGGGAAATGGAGCATTTTGGGGTGATCTCCCCAAAAATGCCAGCACAGGACGTTATCAAGGAGTGTGTGTGCATGCCAAGAGGCTCCAGGAAGCAGGGTTCGGTGCCCCCCTGCTGAACAGTGGGCGCAGGGGAGGGTGGCAGCCCCACATGGAGCACACAGCAAGGATGCTGAGTTGCCACGACAACGGGCTGAGAGGCCACTCAGCACAGGGAGGGGGGGCAGGCAGCTGTGCAGCCCACCATCTATTTTCAGCCACTAATTGAGCCCTGGTTCCTGGAAAGGGCTGAAGTATTCAGGGTAGTGAGGGTTGTGTGGGGCCATGGCAGCCATGCAGGGAGCAGCAGTGACCCCAGGGCTGCATCCTGCCCCACCCTGCACTGCCAGTCCTGCTGTAGCAGCTGGGTTCCAGCCCCAAATCCTGCTGCCCTCTGCCTCCTCATAACTCCCACAGTGACAAGACCCCCTCTCCCCCCTACCCTCAGCCCAGGATCTTGCAGGGCTGGGGGGCATGGGGAAGCAGAGCCAGCACTCAGCCCTGCTGGGTCTGTGTTGGCAGGAGGTGCAGGCAGGGCTCCAGAGAGCAGGCAGCATGGGCTAGATCTGCTGGGTGAATGCAATATCCCAGCTACATCCCCCAGGGAACATGCAGGAGAGGAAGGAAGCATCAGAATTTATGTCTGTGGGATGCCTGGGCTGCACGCTGCTGCCCACACAACCATCTTTTGTGGGTTCCCACCCAACACTCACCTGAACCCAGCTCCTTCCCCATCCTGGGGCTGGCAGGACCCCCCGTTGGCACAGGGGTTGGAGGAGCAACCACTGAGCGCCACCTCACAGTCTCTGCCCTGGGGAAAGGGGGAGAGGTGGGAGCAAGGAGGGTGCCACAGCACCATGTCCCACGCCCCCTGCCCTGTGTGTAGGGAGGGGGGATGGTCCTGCAGGCAGCAAGCCCCGGGGACACAGCAGAGCCCCTGCACTGCCCATTGCCCCTCTGTAGGGATAGGGACCCCCATGCTGGGGATCCCTATGACCAGGGTACCTTGTATCCACTGGGGCAGGCACAGCGGTAGAAGCCGAGAGGGTCATTGTGGCAGGTGCCCTGGTTCTGGCAGGGGCTGGAGAGGCAGGGGTTGCACTTGGCCTGGACACTCAGGGAGGGCGGGCCTGCGGGACAGGAGGTGTGGAGATGGACGTCAGTGTGGGGAGAGATGGGGAGGCATCCATTTGTGGGCACCAACATGGGAGGCAGAGACCCAGCCACAGCTGGGAGCAGAGCTTGCCCCACCGAGGGGCTGTGCACCAGGAAATGGGACAGACATGTGCTTGCTTGGTTACCAGGAACATGTTACCAGTCAGGTAAGGAGACAGAAGCATCCTGGTCCCCCTCATCCACAAGGCACCTCAGTGGATGAAATTCTAGAATCCCCCAGACTCATGGAGCACCACTCTGCTGGGTGCAGGGCAGGAGGCACCCAGCTCCCCGTGACGCCTGCTGTCCTGCCTGAGGAGGGCACAGATGGACAGACAGACAGCGCAGACACCTCTCACCTTGGCACTCGAACTTCTTGGCAGGGGTGGTGAGCAGCAGCTTGCCTTCCATGTCAGGGGGCCCAGCGCAGCGGGCGATGCCTGGCTCCTTGTACCCTGTCTTGACCCAGCTGGAGAGCCAGCGCAGGTTGCAGCTGCAGTACAGGGGGTTGGCCCCAATGGCTCTGCAGGGAGGGGAAAGGCAAAACTGCACCTGCTGCCCCACAGAGGAAACTGGGCTTGGAGACCTTGGGACTGGACACAGTGCCCTCACTTGACTGGGCTGCCACGTGATGGGGGGACCCAGTGCTCCTCCATTTCTGACCCACCAGAGGTGCTGCCTGCGATGGGAGGACTGAAGCACACGGCCCCACACCACTGCCCAGTCAGACCACCCTGCTGCCAGCCCCACAGCCCGCATGGTGCCCCATGGCTCCGTGCTGGGGCTCTCCTCCGCTGCCCACACAGAAATTCTCAGGAGTCCCTCTCCAGCACTTGGGCAGAGCTGCCTGGGACCAGTGCAAACGAGGCAAAGCACCCTGAGGCTGTGCAGAAACAGGATCATTGCACGGGAGCTGCAGGGCCAGCCTGGGCTCTGCTGCACAAGCCTGCCAGGCAAGGGACACAGGATTGGGCTGCTGGGGACAAGCAGTGGGTCATGGCCAGAGCTCATGGGGACAGCATCAGGGGAGAGTAAGGAATTGCTCCGAGAGAAGAGGAGGATAAAGGAGAGTTGCTTTGCTTCACAGCAGAGCAGGGCAGGGAACAGCCGATATCGTGGGAGGCTGAGAGGCTGGATGCCTCTTTGCATCCTCCTTCACTGCAAAGGTCAGAGGTGATGGAGGGCCAGTGTGATCGGCACCTCTGAGGACGGAAGGAGGCGGCAGCCCAGAAAGCAGGTGGTAGGGACAGCAGATCTGCTGGGGCTGACAAACCTGGTCGACAGCACCGACAGCGCCGGCTGCTGACACAGCTCAGCCCTGCGGGAACCAGCAGCGCCGGCTTGTAGCAGCAAAGGCAGCACTGCCCTTGGGCAAGGGAAATCGTGAAGAGCCAGGGAAGACCAAACTGAGCAGTGCTGCTCCCAAAAAAACAAAGGGAGGGCAGGACTGGAAATCAAGATGTTCTCCACAAGATGGAGGAACAGCCTGAGACCCCCAGGATGCCAGGAGCAGGACTGGCCACCAGGCAGTGAGTGGGAACAGCTTAGCAGAGACAAAGGGACTGAAAAGTCACCATGACCAAAGCTGAACCCCCAGTCCAGGTGGTGGGTATGGGGCTCTGCTCCTGGGGTACAGGATCCCTCAAAGAGAGGCTGAAACACTGGCAGGAGGATGCTTGATGAGAGATTTGGGGGGG